TCCGTACTCCGTTTAGACACCAACAGTTCGTATCCATGGATAGTTTGGTGTAAGTATTCTGTAATTAGTCTGTAGATGGAACTGGCTTGCCGGCCGGGGATGATAGGTGTCGACTGTCACTTTGCGTGTTACCGAATGAGACGATGATACATCTGTAACTCTGACAACACTCTGTATGATGTACGGAAAGCGCCTCCGTGTGTTCCTGGAAACTGTACCCCGACTCCTGGCGGATGAAAGAAGAAGCGCCGCAAATGACAAAGGATCCATGTTCTTCTTTCCATCTCGCCTCGCCTCGCCCTGCCCTGCCCTGGCCAGCGGCCAACCTCGTCACCATGGCCCTGGCTTCCAACCTGACTCCGGGCACTTGGGACTTGGGACTTGCAGGCTTGCAGCTGTATCCGTACGCCTCGTGGGAAGTCTCCCTTGAAAATAAGATGAGATGCCTAGGGTCATGACGGGAGAGGCTGGGCAAGCGGGAAGGGTGGACAGAAAAGCTGGGGTCGAACCGTCGCGGTAATAGACACCGAGCCCAACAGGCCGACAGGGAACAGGGCCGGAAATGAGAGGGAAGCCCAAGACTTCCAGGACCCCCAGCAAGCACTGCAAGCAGTGCAAGGAATAGAAGAAAAAATTCTTCCAAATTGACGGAAAAGAAACGATTTGATGCCAGATGGTGATAGTTGATGGAATTTCTGAGACCGGGGGATCTCGAGGGCCGGTGGATTGGGCCCCCCCCCCCCCAAAGCAGCAGGTTGCCGGCCGAAAAGAAAATAGATAGCCGGGAAGTGAAAAGTGATGGACAGGAACCTGGAAAAAAAAAATTGGAAAAAAAAGAGACAACGGCCGTGAGAGAGCCCGGGGGTCCGGAAATGGCCGTTCTGGCTGGCGGCCCTAGTTTGCTTTTTTGGTCTCTCTTTGGTCTCCATGCCATCTACGGTAAAGTTTGGGTCAAAGATCAATACGGAAGTTCCTAGTTGAGTTTCCGTCGGTGGCCGTTCTCGTCTGTCACTGGAGCGGGATGGGCGCGGATGCAATGCGATGCGATGCGCCCAGAGAACCATGAGCATCAGCCCTGGGGAAGGTGAAGTACCTGGGCGGTGGGATTGATGAGGATGTGCTGGATGCAGCCACGGCAGATTTGCTGGCACATCTCGTTTCAATGTTTCTTTCTCTTGGCTCCCGATATTTGTTGGCCTTGGTGATGGTGTCGTGGCTTGCTGTTGTTGTGGTGTTGTACAGATGGAGGTACAATGCCTCAACCTGAGGTGCATACAACCTGGCGGTATTGACAGCATCTGGACCTTACCGGGTAAGGTAGGTAAGGTATTGTCGTCGCTGGAACAGGAACAAGATCAGACGTCCACCATCGCTGGGCGGCATCAAAGGTGGCAGGGCCCAGGTGGCGGTGAGGCGTTGTAAGTCAAAAAAGTATGCGTCAAGTCGGTCTGCTTCCTGTGGTTCCCCGAATGCATTCAGTCAATCGTCGGCGCGCACTTGCGCATTGCTTTGATTCTTCCCCTCACCCTTGGCTTCCCCAGGAGGGGCATCCGGCCTATCGAGGCCCATGAAGATTCACATTCGAAGCTGGGACCCGACAATCTAACAAGAATGAGGGGGTGAGATGTTCTGCTTGATGTGATGAGTCGGGTAATGAAGCAGAACAAGAAGCCAAGGGGGTGTATGCTGTGTGTCACTGATTGACAGTGATCGATGGCGAGTGAAAATGTCAATATCAAAATCAAACGGATGCGATAGGCCGCCGCCTCTATGACTCGAATTCTCGGTCAAAGTTGCAGAGATTCAGCGAGGGATTGACGATTTGGAGGTGGTTGTCCAATGAGAGGTTGAAGCGGTAGCGCGTGTTGAGACCAAAACCAAAAACCGTACGGATAGACACCGGACGGGTGACGGGTAAATCCGATGCAGCGAGAGAAATAAATGCCTTCTGCCCCGGCCGTTTGAGACGGCGCAAAAGTCTGGACGGAGAAGCACCGAGCGCACCGAGCGCACCGAGCGCACCGAGGTCTCTTTCCCGTCTCTCACCCGTCTGGGCAGGAGCCATGAGGAAAGTACCCTTGCTTCCTGCTCTCGTGCCTGCCAATTCTTTGGGCTCGCCCGAGGCCCGGGGCAGCCCAGACTGCCTTCCGCTGGGGGGCAGGGGTACGCAAGAGGAAGGAAAGACGGGGGCAGAAAGGGCAGGCAGAAAAAGGCCCCCGGCCAGAACACTTTTTGAACGGTCGGCCCAGGGCCAGACAGAAGGAAAGGGCGATCACCAGCCAGCGGCCCAGCGCGCCTGCCCGCGAGTGGTGTTCAAACGGCTGGCCCCCCAGGCCACAGGCCCCCCCTAGGCCCCCGCCTCATGCCGCTGTCGGGCCTCGAATGGGACAGCGATTAGCAGTGATTGCTGCTGATGGCACCGGGGACAAGTCCCTAGCGAACCGCCTAAAGGGCCTGAGAGTCAAACCCCAACGCTCAACAGGCCCTGCATTTTACCCATCTGTTCTGGCCCCTCCCCCCGCGGATTACCAGCTTTTGGCCAAACTCTCTTGGGTCCCTTGCAAGTACCCTTGCTGCCCAATGTGGGTGCAGAGGTACTTCTGTTATGTGCCCTCCCATCGCGACCAATGAATCCCGACACAGACTCACACCCTCACCCCTTCCGACCAGGCGGTCAAACACCGCTCATTCTTTTTCCGTTTTCTTTGCTTTTTTTTTTTTTTTTTTTTTTTTTTTTTTTTTTTTGGCTGGTTGGCTGCCGCTCTGCCGCTGTTGGCCTGTCGATATCACCAAATCGATTTCCCTACTAAGATGCGCGCTGTGAGACAGACAGACAGCTCCCGCCGCTTCCCCGTCGGCGGTCTGCGGGCCTCTTCCCTATCGTCGCTCGGCGTCCAGTCTCCCCTTCAAACCCCTGCCTCTCATCACACAATATCATCGCCAATACCGCCGTCTGTCGTCTGTCTCTCCCTCACGTTCTAGGTCGGCCTCAGAATCACAATCGGGGGCCGGCCTCGTGTTTGTCACTGCTGCATCGTGGGGGTGGGCAAGCGACACAATCGCACCGACAGGGGGCTTCGACAATCATCATTGAAAGATGCGAGACACCGAGACACCAAGAGACGGAAAGAAACACTGGATAGACCCGATGCAGAGTCAGAAACTCTGAATTTGATTATCTGAATGGGGGAGGGGAGCTGGAATGGAATCGCCGGCTCTGTCTCTGGCTCCCTTGCGTATCGATCGCAGACTTTTCACCTACCTAGAGTGCTAGAGTCCTAGACACAGCTGGCCTGGGGAGCCAGTCGGAGTCTTGGAGACCGCTTGCGCCTACGGAGCCAGGCCCGTCCGTTCGCAACTCCATTCCCGTTGCCCCGTGGGAACATTCCCCGCGGCATTCAAGCGGCGATTGCGATTCAGCTTTTGTTTGCGCCATGATGTTTCTCACTTTTGATAGTTGACACAATGCCAGAAAAGGTACTATTGAAGCAATACTGATACTCTACACCTCATGTAACACCGTACTCTGGTATATTGTATATATCATGACTCTTTCTGCCCATGTTCGAGTCATCTTGGTGTTTCGACCACACAGGGGCGGTAAAAGCAACACCAAGTACACCAAACAACCATCAGCAATCAGCAATAACGAGCGTCATCATAACCAACAACACCATCAGCAACATCCCGCCCCCGCCGAAAGACACCACCCTCACACTTTTATTCGTATACAGAGATAGACACACGCAGCTGCAGGCAAGAGTCAATCCAGCCCATCCGACTTACTCGGGTGCAAATACGGACACAAGTCATCACCGAGAAAGAGGCCAAAAAGCAGGATTTCCAATATTCCGTCTCGTCCACTCTTTATCCGAACCTATACAATTCCGCTGTACTGACTGTACCGCGGTGCCGACGACGACCACGAAATACCGGTACGAGACTCCATAGTTCGGACAGTACCTACTCTCAGCAGCTCCTCGGCAACGCCACGTCGAGAATAGTCACCAAGCCCAGGCCCGCGGTCCAACTCTGTATTGCCAGAAGCAGGTAATTAACCAGCCAGCCTGAGCCTGAAGGGTACCAAGGATTGGGAATACGGTGTTCCTCCCGCGCGACCGCCAGCCCTGTCGCCGACATTTGTCCTTTCTTCTTTCCCTTTTCACCATACCGTCCCTAAAAACACCCCTCTCACACCCCCCTTGCCGACAACTGCAACCGCTTTCCGCCCAAGCCCAACACTTCAGCTCTTTCCTTACCGGAACCGCACCCCCTGCGCTGTCAGCACTCACATTCCCACACACCCCCCTTTCCATCTCCGTCACCGCCTCCCTTGCCTTGTTTTCCCACCCCCTCGGGATACCGGGAACGCAGTTACCCAATTTTTAGGCTTGCCAAAAGGCCTAGGTCCACTCTCCGAAATTCCTCGGGACGTTGCTCTGGCCCAACCTTGCACCTCCTACTCCTGGCTGTTGATTCCCACCCCCTTTTCTCTTACACCCCCAACACCCCCAACACCCGCAATACGCCCCCCCCAAAAACCAGAGGAAGGCAGACGCGCCCCTTGGGACTTATAAGTCTCCCGTGTCCACCTTCTCCCACACTCCCTCAGTTCGTGATAATCAACAACAATATCCACAACTCTCAAGTCTTATACGAACAAGATTTTTCAACACTCAACATCACTCTACACATCGCAGCCATGTACGGCTCATACGGTTCATACAGCTCCATGGGCTCCGTCTCCATGGGCTCCGTCTCCATGACCGCCCCCATTGATATCTCTCCCAGCAACATGCTTGCCCACGACCGGTCGTGCGCCTTCCCTTCATGGCCACGCCGCGATACCCTCGCCGACTTTGACGGCGAGCCCAGAGCCACCTCTTACCTTTCCGACGAGGATCTCTTCCCCCAGGACTTCGAGGACGACTCCCACAGCGTCTCTAGCCACGGCAGCTTCTCTTCGCCCAACTGCCGCTCTCCCCAGATCTCCGAGGTCGAGCTCCTCGAGATGGAACGCGAACGCATGGCCATGCAGCGTGAGGCCCTCCGCTGCGTCATGGCCGAGAAGGAACGTCGCCGCCAAGCAGCTCTTCAGCAAAAGAAGTCGCAACGCCGCGGCAGCTCCAAGAAGAGCCCCAAGAACAAGCTCGCCTCCATGACTCCTATCGCCGAGTGAGAGCTTCCCACGATGAAGCTGCAAGCTCTTTACTATCCGGCATGTGGCATTGCGCAACCATCTATTGTTCGGACGAGCATACTTTAGCTCGCCGACACACCTCGTCTCGACAAACCCTAATCCATAATATCGGCAGCCTCTTCAGCATGGCGCCGGCAAAGACCACACCAAATCAGGAACGCCTTCGACCTGGAACATCCAATATGCTCCGACGGTCTAAGGCTCTGGTCTTCAAACACAAACACGCCTCTCGCAACTCAACCACCGTGGCCTCGGCCTCGTGTGCGACGCGGCCTGCTTCCACATCACAGGCTTGCAACCGATCATCCAAATTCCGGCTTGCTCATCACTTCACGGGGCGACTCGGAACGCCGTGTGGGGGAGCACAAGCAAAGCCGATCGTGGGGCAGCCCGCAGCAGTGTGTCTCGGCCACACTCGCACACGCCCGGCGGTATCGGCCACCCACCGAACAAGAGTCACCCGGCAATGGCTGGTGTGGCAGGTGAGAGGACTTACAGGTCGGCTGCCTCGTTACGTTGCAATCAATACCTGGTCCTCGTGGACTCATCATTTGGGCACTGGCATTTCACATGCCTTGCATCAACCCTGTTTACTGTTTTTCCTCTATTGTCTTTTCATGTTGATACCCCCCCCCCCCCCCCTTTGCTGTGGCCCACCGAGGTGGCCCAGCTATTATTTGTCGCATGGAGTTTGTTCTTTCATGTCGATCAACGGATCGACTTTCGGATTATTGGGGGCAGCATGGCATCACAGCACATTTTCACAGGACTTTGCATCCGCATTATCGGGGACTTCAGCATGGGAACAACATTTTGCCCACACGAGGCTTCGCATTAGTTAGTTAGTATTTAGTACGAGATACCCTTCGCCACGCGCGACATCAACATTTGATTCTATTCTACATGACAAGATATCTGCATCCACCTATTCGCTTCCTGGTGATTTGTAAACCGGATGACTCAGGCATGCATCGCCTCCCTTTCACTATAGGATGCACTTGCTTCTGACATTTGCATTCGTGCATCGAAGGTGTAAGGCATTTGAAATCAAGAAAATGTCAGAGTCATTCCATGGTTCCGTTCCGGCATGCAGAATTACAAGTGTAGAGTCATACTTTTACGAGCAGCAAACGTAAGCATGTGGCAGCCGACTGGCCTGGATTCAGCGGTTGCTGATGCGTTTACCAGGCGCTGGTTTGGACTGTGTGTGGCTGTTGAGGGTTGCTGCTTGCTTCACTTGCTTTCGGTCGCTGACAAAGTGACCCAAAGGTCCAGCTCGGGGTCTGTGGATTCTGGAATCAGCAATATTGGAATTTATTGTGGGAGCTGCAACTGGAGACTGGATGCGCCAGGCTCAGCCGGTCGGGGCTGAAGGTTTACCCTGTTTTTCCTCGGCTTTGTGAGTTTGTTGTGGTTGTTCTAGCCACACAAAATCATGTCGTCATTAATTATTCGTATTTGTCTCGCTGGCTGTTCGGAACTATGCGAGCGGTGACGGGTATTGTGCCAGCCAACTGCTAGACCTAGTGTGTGAGTGTGTTGGTGTCTCCATGATTGGGGGAGAGACGGAGGCAGAGCCGATGGCCGATGGCTGTTGCGGCTTGTGACTGGAGTATGGCAATCTGGGACAACAGGAGCCCTCACAGTAAACGGTCGGGAACCGTCGGGAGATTCACCCCTGTTAGTTTGACTTAGGTAATCATTCAAGGTCTCGAGCTTTCAAGCAATTCCCGTTGAGAATTCCCGGCGGCACTGTTCGCTTGAATTTGCGGGTATGAACTTGCAAGCCCTGGGATATGCGTTGTTGCTAGGAGGATCCAGTTGGGCAAGAACCGACCCCGTCATGCCATTTGCTCCGTCCGAAAGACACAGCCTCACTTTGTTCTTCCTCCCCGCCCCCCCCAGATTGTGATTCCAGGCCTTCGGCGCATTACGAATTTCCCAAGGACCCGGGCCAGAGGGTGCCCAGAGGGAGGGGGACCCAAAAGTCATCTCTATTCTTGGATGTTTTACTATGGTGGCAGAGGAAGGCTGTAATAATTCTACCGAGATCGATGTCTGGATTGCGTGTCTCCATTGCAATCTTCGGATCTTTGGACCGTTTTGGGGGGGGGGGGGGAGCTGTGTTTGGATACGGGGGCGGGCAATATGTAATGTGGCGTGCGCGTCTATGTTCATGGCTTAGGTAAGGTTTTCCTGGGCTTTGTGGCGTAGCAGCGGGCGGCCTCGATTATGGCGTTTGTAAACTACGTAACCTATGGGGCTAAGAAGCCACAAGCCTCGGCAGTCTTTCGCAGGCGGACATTGCCTTTCAACCACCGACACCGACCGCGGCAAAAGGTTGACAAGGACCCTTGAAGACCCGGGGAAAAGAGGCGCTTGGCTTTGACCCATCGTGCCTGTTTGCGTTTACTGTTCGGTGTTGCTTGGAGGACACCGGATGCGCTACGATACGAACAGTCACAGGCAGGTTTTTCTTTGACTACGGATACTCGATGAAGGAGCTGGACGAAGGAATCGGGATGGATCGGAGATCCGGGGGTGACCTACCTAGCTACCGCTTCTCGGGAGGTTTTACCTTGGCCTTGAGGAAGCCGAGGAACGAGTTTCCGGTCTCCTTTGAATGCTGGATATTGCTATGCCGCGGGATGTTTTCGACGGGTAGAGTTTAGTGACGTTCGGTTCCTTTTCGCTCATGCTCGGGAAGCCAAGTAAAGACTGTTGATGCATTGTAGACGCGGTATACCGAGGCTTCGGGGGAACTTGGAAGGAGGAGCAGCAGCACAGTCTGGGGTTTGAGTTCAAGCTGTATAGATTGCAATGCCTTGGCTCGATGACGGTATTACGGATACTCCTGCGGCCTACGGGTGAGATGCGGAGAGTCGGATAGACAGACGCAAATGGCCCACTTCTTACCACCGGGGGACGGAATCTTTCGGACTCGGCCCCGGAGTGCGGAGGAGTTTTTGGGGAGGGGGAGGGGGAGGGGGAGGGGTGGTGGGGTGTAGACAAGATGCAAGATAGTTGTCGGCATCACGAGTGTTGATCTTGAGATTTATCTGACACCTGAGATGGGCAAGATGGAGAATGCAGATTATGGCGTGAGGGGAGATCTTGAGAGATCTTTACTGCGTTTTCTCAACGGTTTCAGCCACACTCTTTGGGATCTTCCCATCGAAAGACAATCTACATACGGTGTCGTCGACGGACAAAGTCAGAAGAATCGACATCTGAATTGTTCATGATCTGATCTCATCTGATCTGATCAAGACGGAAAGACTTGATGTCTCGACACCCCCTCCGTGATAACCCGCGGAGGTGAGGACGCCGACCATCTTGAAGGGAGTCAGTGGTGGGCTGCATCGCCGGTATCTCAGACTGAACAGCCCCTTTGCGAAACCGGACATGAGTGGCCCTCCTCGCGGCTCCGCTCTCCGCGGATTCTCGTTGAAGAGTCAACCCCAAGCCAAACCGGTTATCGTGAAAGCTAATTCCCGACATAAGTGATAGGGCTGCTTAGAATTGCGGGTGAGGTCGGGAGGGAAAAGCGCCCAAAGGTGATCTTTTGGACAGGACCCTCCCCGCATTGCGTGCGATTACGCTCGGTGCAATGCAGATAAGCCCAGCGGACCAGCTCCGTTAGTCGCGGGGTAACTCTTGTTGTCCCAATCCCTTGCAATGGAGACGTTACGATTGGCTGGGATAATCGAGTCCAGCTGGTCGAGATAGGCAAACCGCACTTCTATTCTCAGTAATAAACCGGGGCTTGCATTCCGTTTAGAACTCTAGATCTACGTTTTTACGGCCGCGAAGGACTGGACCCTGAAAAATTAAAATTAAAAAAAAAAAAAGTCCTTGCCGCGATTGCGGAATTGTGCAAGACGCGGTCCCACAATGGGAGGTGGCGGCGCGGCTCTCTCTCGTCTCCATTCCGATCATCTTAAGCCAGCAAGGAGAAAGGAAGAGGCGAACGGCGCGGACACGATTCGTAGACGCCCTTTAACCGTCGGCTCGGTTCCAGCGAAAGAGTCTGCAACGAATCCAACGGCTTCCAGCATCCAGAGCCTGAACGGTGGATTTGGCTCCTCTTTCTCTTTTTTTTTTCTCGGCTCCTCCTCTCCAAGTCCCCGCCCTTTGGGTTCATGGACCCAAGCGACTCCAGTCAGGAAGCGTGGCGGAGTTGCCAGAGGAGCATGGCATTGGCATTGGCAATCAGCAAAAACTTGGGAACGGTGGAGTCTGATGGAAGGGTCCCTGCACCGGGATGGATTCCCGGCGCCTAGACCTCGTTCTTGCGGTTGACGGACGGGGGGGGGGGCTCACCATTTATCCAAACACCACTCCCCCCCTTGGAGCCATGGAGCACTTGGAGAGGTCTTGAGCGGAGTCTTGGAGTACGTTGTGGATCTAACAACGGAAAAAGGTGATTGGCAACTTTGGGGGAGCCAAACGGGATGCCCCGGCGAATCCCAACGTGTCAAATCTCTCCCTCTTCCCTCAAATCCCCACCGATACCCACGACGGGGACGATCGCTCCCGGGGTTTGGAGAGGCTCTAGACCTTTTCCGGTCTTTGCACACTTTCCTGTTTTGTCTTGTCCGGTGGAGCTTTTTCGTGGTGCAATCATGGAGACTGGAGGGGTTGTGAGGAGCTCTAGCCCAAAGGACTGCCATGACAGGGAGCTCCTCTTTGGTGCAAAATTCTGTCTGCCAGATGAACGAGTCCACGAAAAGAGGGTCTCGCGGGTTATCAGCGGCGGGATTACTGTTTGGTCTGGGTCCTTTGCGGATAGGAAGAGCACTAAGAGGAGGGGAGAAAGAGAGATATGGAGCACTTTGGGAAGCTCTGGAAGCTTTTTCTGCCAGGCTACTTGCTAGTATAGAGAGAAAGGGAGTCAGTCTCATTAACCAAACGGATGAAGTCTCGTTCGAATTTCGAAGAATGGGGAAGGAGGGTGAATAGAACCCAATGGTCCTTTTGGCGCATTCGAAAAGTGTTTAGCAAAAAAGACCCTGTCTCAACCTGCCTCTCGAGTTCTCAACATCAAATGCAAATTCTGACAAGCGGTATCCATTCACCGGTCCGGCACCCTTTTTTTTGGTCTCGGTGCTTCTTTTCCCGCCGAATCATTCCCCGTCACAAGCTTCACCCGCCCTTCTCGAAGCTCTAGTCTCTAGATGCTTGAGCTTTCAAACTCATCAAGAAGCAGAAAAGGCCCTTCTTGTCTGGAAAGCTCCGCTTTTCGGAGGCTCTTCGGCATTATGACGAGTTTGATTGGTGACAAATGGACGGTTCAGAGGGGGAAGCTCTAACCTCTCTCTCTCTCTCTCTCTCTCTCTCTCTCTCTCTCTCTCTCTCTTTCCGCAACTACCCCCGGTCCGAAAAGAAAATTCCTTTCAGGGAAAATTCTTCCATGTGGCTTCTAAAGTGCTGTCAGAGTCTCTCCGCCTCGGAAAAAAAAAACTGGTCGAGAGATGCCGGGATTGCTCCACCTCCTTATTCCCCCAAGCCCAGCAGCCCAGCCGTCTGGATTGGCAGCATGGCACTTTGCGCGTCGAGACCGCGCTGCTTCTGACCACGGTACCGCGTAATCCCTCGTCTCGGTGTCGTTTCGGTAAACTTGAGTCGTGGAGACACTTAAACCCCAAAGTCAAAGTGGTAATCGGAGAATCTCCGACGCACACACCTCTCTCTCTCAGTCTTTTTCAGTTGTTCTCTCACATCTCGGTCTTTCCTCCGGGGCTCTTGTCGAGTTCGGGTGGCTCATGAATCGCGTGTGGCGCAACCCAACCACATCCTTTTTTTCTTTTCTTTCTTAACTGTTCTTTTCCAGAAGAATCTTGGAAGAGGCGGGCCTGTCGTCCGAAAGGGCATCCTCAAGCGCAAAAGAACTGGCAATCGTCACAAAAAAAAATTTAAAAAAATTCAGGGACGCAACGCTTGCAACGTGAACACTGATTCAGTTATTCCCCGAATCGCTCACCATGCAGGTTCGACGTCAACTATGACTTCAGTCTTTTGACATGATGAACAATTTGATCGTCCTTTCCCGTCCATCATCCGGGATTCTCCATACGATCTCTGTTCAAAAATTTTCAACACGCCCCCTCCTTCTTTTGTCACGATATCAAACGACCCTCAATTTTGTCTCTTTTCCCGGCCGGCAAACGTGGGTATTCACAAGTTGCCAATCTATGGCAACATGTTACACTACTCCATAGGACCAAGATTCTAGCTTGCGGGTGTGTGTGTAATCCCACAAGGTATGCCACGCGAATTGGCCACCCGCACAGAAGTTTGTTAAACCACGCTTCCATCGTCGTTCCGCCGTCATCCTGAAGCACTGGCCCCAAGGGAACTGACGTTCTTTTTCGGGCGACTGACTAGTGTAGAGCGCGCAAAAATCCTGACTCTTGATCTCAAAGGATGGCAACCTGGGGAAAACCTGGGAAAACCCGGGACGGCGGATGGGTTGGTGGTGGCTTGTTGGCTGTTGGTTGTTGGTTGTTGGTTGTTGGTTGTTGGTTGCCCACGGTCTGAAACTCGAGGCGTTCAAGCCACACAGTTGTGTAGTTCCGTTACACCGGACAGGATTCCCCAATCGGTATTCCATCTCTATTTCCTGTTGGTTGGCTGAACGTAAAGACGGCGTCCGGCGGCCAGCTCTGACGCCGTCTGCAACTGCTGCTGTGTGACATCAACCCCGCCTACGGCTACAGATCGAAAGACGAACTGGGTTCAGCCTTTTTTTTTTTTTGTCCTTTCTTTGCCTACGGATACCCGTGTTTCTCGGTGGGTGTACCTATATCTCAGCCAACGATGAGTGGAACAAAGAACAACAACCAGAGACGAAAGATGCAAGACAAGCCGACAGAGCAAACATTCAGTGTTTCCTCCAACCAACAGTTCGAGTTGCACATCATCGTTTGGGCTCCTCGTTTCGCTTTCGGAGACCCGTCTGCCGTCCGATCAGGTTTCGGGACGGGTTCCGTTTGGCGTTTTGGAGGAGCCCAGTGATCTGCTACAAGCACAAGCAACAAGCGAGGGAGAAAAAACTGGACCGCGGTGTCTGTCTACAACTCTTCAGACCCAAGTCTAACACCCGTATCCGTAAAGCCTCCCAAAGAGCATTGGACGGAACGGTTCATCCGCATTCTTCAGTTGCCAAGACTTACGGATACAGGCGGGATACTCAAAAAGAGTATCCGTATCCGTTATACGCCGTTTCCTTTCTCCGCAGGCGCAAGCACCAGCAGGAAGCACATGCACGATTGACGGAAGACCCCCTCCCCTGGTAAACCGTGTCGTCGAGTTCCCGGACAAAACGTGGCCGTCGGTGTTGCAGAGTCGTAGAGTCGTAGTAAATTACCCGAAACGGCAGGTTCACTTCAGTCTAAACGGATCGACCGCGGAGCAAAACGTCAGTGTCACTTATCCGCCGTTACCGCACCTCTTATCGCAGCTCTCGGGCCTTTCCGAGATAAGATACGAGATACCACGTCCACGAGCAAGACATTTACGGTGAGTGGTGCGCGTGGGGTTAGGTTCACCGGCGTCCGGCGCCGATACGGACCGGGCTTATCTCACTGCGCGCATCTTCGTATCTGTAAGTGTACGGTGACACTCCATCACGAACGAATATTCTCGTATGCTGTCATCCTGTTGGCATTGCTATTTTCAACCCTTTGTCGATGGAATGGAACGGATGGATGGCGGTGGCACCACCACGCCTACACTTCAAACAAATGAAACGAACAGCCAGCGACGCCTCTTCCTTCTTCCCCTCCGCTATCTGGAGGGGAAGAGAAGAGAGGGGTGAGCTGGGCTGAGCTGAGCTGAAGATCCTCTGCACGGATTCTGCGCTCGAGGATCCGTGCCTTTCCGTCCGCAAGCGCAAAAACGCCATCACGTTTATTTTTGATATCTTGGGGGTGAAAAGAAGAACACACGCACAGAGGATTGAATAGCAACGTCTGTTCTTTTGCGAATCCCCCGTAAGCCCCGGCGCTCCAAGCAAAGGTCCGTCAGGGCGAGGGGGTTCCGGACCTTGGAACCACTCGTTGCACCACTGACTACCAACTAAGCCCCATTCGCTCGCGGCGTCTTTGAGCGAGTGCTGGCTGTAGTGGTGGGGGGTTTTTCGTTGTCACTGACTGTTTCCTTCACCGACCTCACGGCGGGAGAGGTAAGCGTGGGGGTTTGGTGGTTGAGTGTTGTTGGGTGATGTGATGCGGTTGTTGACCACCCCTCCTCTCATACCGCCAACCTGCCTTACGTATGTATTCTGCCGCCGAAGCCCGGAGGCGGTAAAGCCCCCCCCCCCTCGTGTCGACCACACCCGAGCCATCGAATATTGGCAATGCTTTCACCAAAATCAGGATCGGAGCCGTCCGTCAGAGCTTGCTTTTGTGGCTGTATACGCCTGTTTTCTTGCTGTTCATGTTTCCTTCTTTCTTCTCCCAACGGCGGCTGCGGCTTGCGGGCCCCCCCCCCTCCAAAGCCCAGGCCCTTTTTTCACCTACAAGTTACATCATCGTCACCGCCATATGCCAAACACCCATCAGGGTCGAACATTGCACGACTTGGGACTCCTTTGAGGGGTGTGGTGTGTGCTGCAGGGCAACGCAAAAGGGGGGGGGGGGGGGGGGGGATGATCGGGCAGGAATTTTGAACAAGAGACAAGAAAGAAAGACCTGCAGTATCTGCAGAATATGACAAGTGACAAGTGAGCAGGGGCTGGAACGGTCTTGGGAGTCCTGGACCACCCGGGGCAACTCGGGGAATCTCAGCGCGACCGCAGTGTCTCGTCGATCCCAACGCTTGCGAGATTACAGAAACACACCCGCAGGTCGAAACCCCACGGGCCTGGGTCTGGGTGCCGGCCACGACCGTCGACCGCATCTCGCAGGTGTCCAGCCTGCCTCTGCCTTTGCCTGCCACGCTGCCACGCTGCCACGCAGTTGCGTGCTTCGTGTGGCAGCGGTCACTGAGCACTGAGCGGTGTCTGTAGCGGTAATACCGTAATCCAGACGTTTGGCCCGCTGTCGGGAGATGGGCGATCCTCAGATATCGTGCATTCCAGGCCTTGCGTGCCCCTCCGGAGCCGGGCTCCGGAATGACGAACACACCAACGCTTCCCCTCTACCCCTCCCCCGTCCAATACTACAGCCGCCTTATACGACACTCATTTTGGTCAGCTCACTATAATGTAGATACCAATCACTTTGGAGCCCAATCTAAGCAACGTGGGCATCGTACAGACTCCAGTGCACACCCCTCAGCGTCACGTCGAGATACCGCATCATGACCAACGGCATTTGCTCCGAATATCGCATCCACCCATAAGAATACGGCAACCTAATAAAGAGACCATTCAAAATGGCTTCGCCGCGATTCGCGATGCTCATCCCACCATCACTCATATCCACTAGTAAATCCCCCACACGGTCAAAGTGCAAATGACAATACAAGTTGCTAATCGCCATCTCTGGGAACGCGACGTGAAATCAGTCGGGCGCCTCCCCATCACATCACACTGTTCATCACAGTTGACGGATGCCAATAACACTCGCAAAGGTCAGAAAGACTGGTGCAATACAAGAAAAGTGTCTGGGCGACCGCGTCCCATGTCCCCATGGCCGGCGCTCGGGACCTGGCTGGTCGGACGCCGGGCGCGTGCGAGGGCCGCGCTCCAATCACGGTTCGGCGCATCCCTCAAAGTTCGTGTTGCTCGCCGTCTGTTTGGGCGATTTGTGTAAATGTGATGGCCAATCCAGTTTACTATCACCGTTTGAATGCCAAAAACTGTCTACCTTACTCGTCTCATCCGTTTGTTGCGTGCGCGTCGCAATCACATCTCTCTAGACTCTCTCTCGCCTCATTAGTCTGTGACTCACCCATGGAAATTATCGGTGATGTGGATGCAAAAGAAGGTTTTTTTTTTTGTGCAAAGCGGTCGGTCGCAGACTTGCTCTGCATTTGCACACCGCGATTTCCCTCTCATGCACCTCATGCAAGCCAAACGCAGATTTCTTGATTATCGCTGCATGCGCCGGCACCCTCAGGGCCTTCACCTCTCTTTATTACCCCCCGGTCTCCTGCTTCCCATTCCCGCTGCATCAAATCCGATAGCGGGCCGCCATGAGCGCCGTAATGCACACACTACAACCCACAGCTGCCCCCCCCCCCCCCCCCCCCCCAATCCCGCTCTTCCGCGTTAGGGTTGCAGGAAGGATATCCCCAAATACATGTACCTCGCCTTACGTGCGCTACCGGCTACGCAGGTATGGGGAATCCGAAATAAGGTATGCGGTGTGTAACCCGTACCGCCGTGACACGGGTGACGGGCGTGCCAACCCAAGCTGAAGGTTGGGGCCCGGGGGCGCTTGGGTGCCTCCCCGATTCGCCCGCGATCGTGCAGCTTGCATCCCGAAGGGAAAAAAGAAAGAGGCAAGGAGAAGCACCAGAAAAGCAAACGCCAGAAGCATCGCAAGCTGAAACCGCATCCCTTTAGAAAGAAACTAAACCCCCTGTCAAGTTCATGTTTGGGTTCTGCCACCCCTCTATCCATCCATCGATACCTCTTCAACTCAGCTGCATATGGCACCCGTGTTCACCGCTCTCGATATAATCACAAATTGCAAAATACCTTTCTGAGAAGAAATGACAATATTACGGATACAAGCGCCCAAAAATGACCGATGTATCTAATACTGCGTCTCTTATCTGAGAATCCTTGGCATCGGGCAGATGTAAGAATGAACTTGTCTCTCGGGCTCTCCACCCAAGTGTCTCATTACACACATCCGCCAGGGCAGAATAATCACCCAAGACAAACCTGACCTAGACAGCAAAAGCAAGGCGAGTTCCAAGACAGCTCCATTCCAACCATGTCAAAGTCCCGACTACTTTGGGGTCCTGTTTGCGAGAAGACCCCCCCTGTCACGGCCGCCAACTGGCAGATGCACCACTGCGTTGTCTCCGATCGAGTACGCCAGATCGTCAGGGGAACGAAACCCCCTTCGTCAGGCTGCTTGCTTTGTCTTTGCTTCTCTTTTCTGTTCACCGTGACTCCCCGCTCTTTGTGCTACGATGAGTGACGTGTTGTCTATGGGGGATATGGGGCGCCGTTGAGGGCGTTTGCGCATCGACGACACTCAAAGTCGTTTGCTTTTGGACGAGCGTTGGCATTGTGAATGTCGTTCCACCGCCTTTTCTTCTGTCCACCGCTTAGAAAGAAAACATCATGTGGGTGATTGTTGGCCTTGGACATCTGATATTTCTCGCGATCAATAGTGCTCTTCGAGGTGTTACTCCGAGGCTGTACCCGAACCCACCGTATGTTTGATACGGATGGCGCTCTGAGGCATGCATGGCGGTCTGGCACAATGTCCGTAAACGCCATTTGCCCTGAGCTGAAAGTGAAGCCGGAATCCATATGCTCTTGTGAACAGCTTCAATAAGCCATACATGCCAACCATCGAGATCGTTCCATCCGTACCCTCCGTATCCGTCAGAAGCAATATCACATATACCGAGGAACCTAACGGTGCTGCTTCATCCGCATACGGACGGTCCCGAACCCTGGCTTCTCTCTCTC